AAAAAAAAAAAAAAAAGAAGATATATGGAAGTGCCAGTGTTAAGTCCTATTGCTAGCTTGCAGGGGTGAGTGTACTCCTCGCTGGAGCACAAACACTGTCCCTGCTTCCCGTTTCAGTCAGTGCCTTTGCTCATTACTTGGGCAACCACCCTATGCCAGAACTGTTAGGTGCTGGAAATACAGAGATGAGTAAGACAAAATAAATGCCTGCCCTCGATATGTTGAGAGGGAAAATGGTGAAATTAGGCATGACGGGTGTACTAGAGCAAAAGAGCAACACGGGTGCAAGGGAAGGGTGGTGGGAATTGGAAAGAAGTAACAAGTAAAATCTGGAATGAGTCTTATAGAATGGGTAGGTGTTTACTAGGAGAGTGATTAGGGAGTGGCATTTCAGGCAGAGAAAACAGAGAAAGGCTTAAAGTATGACAATGGATTCCAAGGGAAATTGCAGCTGGGAAGGGAAGAAGGTAGCGCAAGAGGCAAGAGAGGTGGGGAGGGGCCAGACTGTGGAAGTTAACATACATGCTAAGTTGAAGAGTTTGAACTTTATCCCACAGACAGTAAGAAAGCTTTTAAGGATTTTCACATCGGAAGGTTTGCTGTAACTGCAATGTGGTAGACGGACTAAAGATGCAGACTTGGGGGCAGAGAGCAGCCAGGAGATGGCAGTAACTATCCAGGCAGAAAAGCTGAGGGCTGGAGCCTCATTGCTAACAGCAGGGAAGAAGTCACTATTGACACGTAAGTCATCTCTTCTACAATTCGGTATTTCTTTGGTGGAGGTCCAGAGTCAGAAGATCACACTCCTTTGTAAAACAAAGTAACACCATGAAATAATATTAGCTAGCATCAACCAAGCTCTCACTTTGCTCCAGACTCTTGACAGGCTTGCATTCTGGTTGAGGCCCATCCCACGCAGGGTCCCAGCAGCTGGTCACCTGTTCATACCTGAGTGGCCCACCTGCAAACCTCGGCTCCTCCTGAAGTTGTAGGACTTCTAAGAGCCAGGGGTGCTTATTTAATCATTTGTTTTGCTAGGCATACTTGTCAAGATTATATATTTAACATTATATAAACACAAAATATGAACACCAAGAAAGGTCTTATTTTTTAAAAAATTAGAGTATTTGCTTTGGAAAGATCCCGTAAAGGTAAGTGGCTAAATAGTAATACCAGCAGCAACCATGAACTGTTTCTGGGTTTGGTATCAACAAACTGTTGAAAAAACACCGTATTCTAAATTCTGAAACAGGGATTCTATAATTAACTTACATCCTATCAAAGATGAAAAACAATCAACAATATGAATGTGTAGAAACACTGGAATAATAGTTAAGAAACCAGACTGGTTTTGGAAAAGGCAGTTTTAAATGCAAGCAGAGAAAAATTTCAATGGCAATTTCTTTCCTCTACAAATTGATCATCTCAAAAACCCAAGTATCTTTTTTTTTAAAACAAGATTTCATTTATTTATTTGGCAGAGAGAGAGAGCACGCGCACAAGCAGGGGAAGCAGCAGAGGGAGAGGGAGACGCACGCTCCCTGCTATGCAGGAAACTCCATGTGGGGCTCGACCCCAGGATCCCAGGATCATGCATGACCGAAGCGGAAGGCAGACGTGAAACCGACTGAGCCACCCAGGTGCCCCTCAAAAACCCAGTATCTTAGAAGTGAACAGGATCTGAAAATGTACTTACGAGCCTGTGGATTCTGAAAAGCTACAGCTTTGTCAGTCCTTAGCTGAGACTGAAGGGCAGCCACTTCCCAACGACGAAATTCTGGTGATGTGGTGACATTGAGCAGGAACTCCATTAGAATATCACTACAGAAGACATCAAGATGAGAGCTTCGAGTCAAAAATTTAAAACCAATGTCCACGCTACATAAACGTAATGTTCTCGGTATTAAGTTTTAGGCCTTGTGGTAAGCACAATGTTCTACATTTCTGAGCAAGAACCCAAAACCAAAATCAGAGGTCATAAGGCAACATTAAAAAAGACGACACCTAAGCAGCTACGTGTTTCTTTAAAAGCAGGTGTCGTCAACCCATGCAGGTACTTACACATGGTCCCGCAGGCATTCCACAGTGTAGGCCATGCTTTCCCTGGTTGAAGTCACACTGCATCAGAAACAAATTACGGTGAAGTATCTAAATCAGAATAAGCTTTCCTTACATCTTTGTTAACCAATTCCTTTGGAAAAATTATTTTGAAGTATAAAAATACACATATGTATCGACTAAAATATACAATATTTAAGATTTTAAGGAAGGCAACCTTGACATGTTACACATGGATGCACCTTGAAGACATTATGCTAAGTGAAGTAAATCAGTCTTGGAAGAACAAATAACGTGATTCCATTTCAGGATGAACCTAGAAAAGTCAAAATCATAGAACGTAGAATGGTCACTGTAGGGGGTTGCCGGAAAAGAGTGGGGAGTTTCTGTTTAATAGCTAGAGTTTCAGTTGGGGAACATAAAAGACATCATGGAGATGGATGGTAGAGATGGTTTATTTTTTTAATTTTTTTTAAAGATTTTATTTATTTATTTGACAAGACAAGGATCACAGGTGGGCAGAGAGGCCTGTATAGAGAGAGGAAGGGAAGCAGGCTCCCTGCTGAGCTGAGAGCCTGATGTGGGGCTTGATCCCAGCACCCTAGGATCACGACCTGAGCCAAAAGCAGCCGTTTAACTGCCTAAGGCTCCCAGGTACTCCCCCTGCTTTTTTTAAAGTTAGCACTACATATTATTATTTTTTAAAAACTCAAACCTTAAAAAACATCTTGTTTTTCCACAAAATATTTAACTGGAATAATCTAGTTCATCCTTTAACTGCTATGTCCTGGGCTCATCTCATCACTAGATCAGACTTCACTTATCCCATTTCCCTGAAGATGGCATTTAATAAATTATTTCCAGGCTTGGGCGCCTGGGTGGCTCAGTGGGTTAAGCCACTGCCTTCCGCTCAGGTCATGATCTCAGGGCCCTGGGATCGAGTCCCTTGTCGGGCTCTCTGCTCAGCAGGGAGCCTGCTTCCTCCTCTCTCTCTCTGCCTGCCTCTCTACTTGTGATCTCTCTCTGTCAAATAAATAAATAAAATCTTAAAAAAAAAAAATAAAATAATAAATTATTTCCAGGCTTTACAAAAATAAATCGTATCTTTGCCCAGGTGGATTAACAACTTAATTTGCAAGATAGGCTCCTATTCAATATTACTAGATTTTCCTAGATTCTTTTCTACGTAGTGTATCAATTTATTCCACTAATCGTAGAAAAGATTCTCCCTCGTAACACGGCCAACACGATACGTCAGTCTGACGCGTAACTGCATCGCGTCGTGATTATAAGTAAAGATCAGTGTTTCTGGCTTCTGCCTCTGGGAATAGACTGTTCCTAGCCTTTGTCCATCCATCTGCTATTTGATTGTCTTCTAATCTGTAGGTCTTTATTTTTTCCAAAGAACCTTTTCTATGTTAGTTATGTTGCAAAACTTACTGCCAGTTACTTGAATTTTCACTTTAAGGCAAAAAGATGATTTACATTTTGATGTAGTTAAATTCAGTAGCCGCTGCCTTCTTTTTTTTTTTTAAGATTTTATTTATTTATTTGACAGACAGAGATCACAAAGAGGCAGAGAGGCAGGCAGAGAGAGAGACAGGAGGAAGCAGGCTCCCTGCTCCGCAGAGAGCCCGATGTGGGGCTCGATCCCAGGACCCTGGGATCATGACCTGAGCCGAAGGCAGAGGCTTCAACCCACTGAGCCACCTAGGTGCCCCCAGTAGCCTTCTTCTTGTGTCTGTTTAACAAATCCTTAACTGCCTTGATAAGACAGAAAAGTTCCCTTATAATCGAATACTTCCCGGTGTTTTCACTATTCATTTACTGTTACTTATTTTTAACAAACCTTAATTTACCACCAACTGCTTCAATTCCACGGGTTATCTTGAAAGATGAAGCTCCTTTAGTAGTCTGGAAAAAGAAAGAACAATTGTATTTTTAGGAATTTCTTAATGCCAAGTTGGCAAACATCACACTACGTCACAATCTAATGTCTAACTCTCATTAGATTCAAAAAGAACTTTATCTGCACAGCGGATCTTTTTTAGTTTCAGTATTATAAAACAAAACACACAACAGCTTTTCTTTTCTGTAGGACCGAGATACCATAGCATTCCGGAACTGAGTGAGACAGTAAAGATGCTTACCAAACTGGATGCAAGACGAAGCAGATGAGAGGTTCCTAAGTTGTTGGAGTCCTCATATCTGCTGCCAGCTTTAATGAACAAACCAATTCTTGAGGCAGGAGCATAGTTTTCCAGAGAAGCAATCACTAAGCCGTTTGGTAATTTGGTAAACTGTATTTAAAATAAAATGAGACGTGATCAACGCTTTTATATTACCAAAGACAGAAAGGCCAGTGAGCAACTCAGTGGGACTGACCTCAAGGTCCTGAGGCTGTGATGGCGCTCCTGCAGGGGCGGCCGTGGCTTTCACTTTGGGAGCAACTTTCAGGGAGTAAAATCTCTAAACACAAAAAAGACAGGTTACACACATTTCTCTCAAGAAAAGTGTCTTGTATTCTGGTGTGCCCAGAAACAGAAGGTGTTCAGTGATAAAATAACTTCATGGGGGTGGGAGGATTCAGCTAACTTATTACTTCCCAGCCGCTCTTAAATCCTTAATTTGTGATTTGTAGAGCCTGAAGAAATACCTAACCCTACATGTTCATTTTTTTAGAATGGAAAAAACCACTGTATTTTCTTTTCCCTGTTAACTATCTTTTTTTTTTTTTTTTTAAGATTTTATTTATTTATTTGACAGACAGAGATCACAAGTAGGCAGAGAAGCAGGCAGAGGGAGAGAAGGGGGAGAAGCAGGCCCATTGCCGAGCAGAGAGCCCGATGCTGGGCTCGATTCCAGGACCCTGAGATCATGACCTGAGCCGAAGGCAGAGGCTTAACCCACTGAGCCACCCAGGCACCCCCTCTGTTAACTATATTATTAAAGCTTCAGGTGCTTCTTTCTGGCTCCAAAATGCTTTGGAATTTTTTGAAAAAATGTAGGACTGCCCCATCCATACCCTTTCATAGATTTTAGCATTACTATTTTCCGTATCTGCCCAGAGTCTCATTTTCGTTTACTTCCCGAGTGAAATGACTTCATCTCTATAATCATTTTAGTAAACTTAAAACAGACAAAGTATACCAAGGAAAATTCCTCTAAGACCCCAATATTTCGCACAGTATCTTCACTCTCTTGGATGCTAGAGTAAGACCACACAACCAAGGGTTTTATTTCTCTAATACACATGTATATCACCCTGAGATTAACAACAGCTTCAGCGACAGCAGATTCCCAGTTCATTACATGCAGCCACTGAAAACATAAAAGTGTCCTCTTAAATGCTGGAAAATGGACCCAAAATGCCTCACTTTATTGTTTTTTGGGTAAATGACAAACAATGCTATCGAATTCATTCTAAGGTTCATGAGGTTATTAGAAGAGATGTTATCCCTGAATCAAATGAACGTACTGCTCGAGTTTCTGGAGGACTCCCATCAGAGGCTGCAGTGCCCCTGCGCTGGGATGTCCTCAAGAGCCGTTTGTAATATATTCAACATCAGTGCTGTACTGAGTTGGTTCCCAGTTTTCACTTGCTATTAGTACTTTTTAATTACAATCAGCTTTGTTTTACCATCAGTTTCATTTGCTGGGTGTGGTACAGTTAACCCTAGTTGTGATTTTTACCTTTTGAATCTCTAAAAAGTAAAATTTAAGACACGGGAGCATAGCCGTTCAAATACGAATCATCTAGAGTTCCATTGCCAAGGCTGAGGTGCTTTCACCTCAAGAAGCAGGGAAACTTTATGTACTGCCTATAATTTGTCCCGTTCCAATCAGCTGCAAAGATTTATCCTGGTAATTGTCAATTACTGGGTAACTTTAATAACAAAATATCTATAATAAATTTATTTGTTTGTAAAATGAGTGATATAATTAGAAACATTCAGTGCTTTCAAGTTTATTGCAATTTGTTTACACTGGTCCTCTCCAACTGTTATCTTTGAGTTCTTTTATCTACTGGGAAGTTGGGATGGATGGAATGGAGGAGTTTGGGGTTCTTTTGCCACTCTAGGCTGCTCTCAACATTCTTAATCACTGGTTTGTCCAGGTGTGCCAGTAAGGGTAATTTAGGCTAAAATTTAAATTACCTCCATTTGCAAAAATCCACAGTATATCTATTTATTTTTTTCTTTTTAAAGATTTCATTTTTATTTATTTGACAGACATACATCACAAGTAGGCAGAGAGACAGGCAGAGAGAGAGGAAGGGAAGCAGGCTCCCTGCTGAGGATGCAGGGCTCGATCCCAGGACACTGAGATCATGGCCTGAGCCAAAGGCAGAGGCTTAACCCACTGAGCCACCCAGGCGCCCCTCAGTATATCTATTTCAACATTAGGCACAGGGTAACTCCATTCCCTGCACCTCTGTCTAGCAGGTTACTGGTTACCTAGTAACCCAGATACTATTGGCTAGGTAATTTTTTTTTTTAAAGATTTTATTTATTTGACAGAGATCACAAGTAGGCAGAGAGGCAGGCAGGCAGGCAGAGAGGGGGAAGCCAGCTCCCTGCTTAGCAGAGAGGCGGATTCGGGGGCTCCATCCCAGAACCCTGGGATCCTGACCTGAGCTGAAGGCAGAGGCTTATCCCACGGAGCCACCCAGGCGCCCCAGGCTAGGTAATTTTTTGTTGTGGGGAGGATATGCTTATGCACTGCAAGATATTCAGAAGCATTTCTGTACTCTAGAGGCCAGCTGGCACTCCCTTACAGGTTGTTACAACCAAAAATGTTTTCAGATGTTGCCAACTATCTCCTGGGGCCAAAACTGGCCCAGCTGAGATTCTTAAAAGTGTTCCTCTCCTCCCCTCTTGATAACCAGCGCTCCACTGTGGTAGCACACTGACATGTGAGGCGTTTGCCCCAAGTAACAACTATGTATCGCTTGGGCTTGGTGGAGTCGTCTTAAGCAGCCCCCGAGGGCCGACCAAGAGGCCCTCCTAGACTTCTCTAACAAGTCATGGAGAAAAACACGTTATCCTGGGGCGCCTGGGTGGCTCAGTGGGTTTAAAGCCTCTGCTTTCAGCTCAGGTCATGATCACGGGGTCCTGGGATCGAGCCCCGCATCAGGCTCTCTGCTCCGCAAGGAGCCTGCTTCCTCCCCTCTCTCTCTCTGCCTGTCTGCCTACTTGTGATCTCTCTCTGTCAAATAAATAAAATCTTAAAAAAAAAAAAAAAACACGTTATCCTGGCAGAACACCATAATAAGTTCTAGAACAGTGATAAGCAGTATACATGCATTAGCTCATTTCTTCCTTAAAATTTTACTCATAAGCCCCCTTAACCGTCAGGGAAACTGATGCTCCGTGATACACTAAGAAGCAGAGGCCAGAGCTGACAGGGTGAGGGTTGGAGGGGTAGGTCTACGCCGGCCCCCTGGCCGCCGGGGCTCGCGGTTTCCACCTCCGGCAGGCAAGTGCAGCAGTGACCTTCAAAAGTTTCGCCACCGACTCGCTTCACCCCCGCTCTCAACCCCTTTCCCTATTCTCTTCAGGTTTTCCGGCGTTAGGTCTCTTGCTCGTAGCACGACCTGGACCTCCAACGCCCGACCCACCCGGCTTGCAGACCGCTTGGCCCGCAGAGTCCGTCTGAAGGGCAGACGGAAGCCCAAGGCCCCGGAGCTCCAAACCAAGCACCTCCGGTCCGTATCACCTTGCTGACAAACTGCTCCCCAACCCTGCCCCATGCCCGCCGGCTGTGCTCACCGAGAGGGACCTGGCTCTGCTTAGCAGCTTCATGGCTCAAGCTCGCTCTAACCCACGGTCACTGCCGGCTAGAAAGAAAGCAAGATGGTGGCCGACGAGAGGAGTTTCCCAGCTCCCCCCGCGCGCTCTTTCCCACGGCTGCTACGTGAGGAGGACTCTCTACGCGGACCGCGCTCTACTGCTCCCCGGAGGAGGTTGGGCCAGTCCAAGTCTTTCAAGACGCAGTATAGGCCGACGCAACGTTTTGTACGGAAATACTCAGAAGATTACTTATTTTGCCACTTTTTGAATTCTCGTCCCGGCCGGATATCCTGTATCCTGCACTCTGTAATCCTACTCTACGTCTAGGACTGCCCATCAACCCCCCACCCCGTCACTTTGGAATCTCCCGATCCGGATTGTCAAATGAGACGGCCCCTTTGCCCCAGATTCCACCTCAAACCTGCCCCCGAGCCCTGGCTTCTGCCGCTCCCCTCAAGTCTGTAGAGGAGACTGGGCACTGTAGAGAAGAGTCTCCGTATCTGTTTGCCTTTCTGAAGAGACCTGCGCTTCGAAGCCGAGCATGACTGCTTCTTGCTTGCTAAAGTCCTCACTAGATCATTAGACCTCTGAGGGTAGAGACCTTGACCGATGAACTCGCTGCTCTGACTGGCGGCACCGGCGGGAGACACAAATGGATGAATCCTGAAATTCAGGTAGTCCTCCCCGCTAAGGTCTCTGCTCTCGTGAAATTTATATTCTAGGCTGGGGCTACGTAGGAAACAAAAACCTAACTATAATTGTCATATGAGAAAAAAGGTTTTGAAGAGTAGGGGTGTACGCGGGGGGGTAACTTCTGAGCTGAAACCTGCCTATGGGGAGTCATGTCACTATCCGGAGGAAGAAAGTTCATTTTTCTGTGAATATTAACTGTGAATTCGCCTTGTGTCAGGCACAAGATTAAGGCGTGGTCTTTGTCCTTCAGGAACTTACAGTCTCTGCTACTGCAGCAAGGTTGGGAAATCAACAGCATCAGTACCATTTGGAGTTAGAAATGCAGAATCTCCATACTGAATCGAAATCTGCATTGTACAAGATTCATGTGCACATTAAAATTTCAGGAGGGCTGGTGGTGCTGCAGACATTTACAAGGGATAGACAAACTTATGTCTAGCTCCTTGGCCTGTGGCTGATTTACTTCACTCCTACAACTGTCTAACAGGATTTCCGGTGACATCTAAGACCCGACCTGGCCATTGAGTATCTGGTGCAAATCCAATTTCTGTGCCTTCAGGGGGCACCCGTCTCAATCCATACCACACAGGAGAGTGACCCAAAGTGTGGCAGACTTAACACGAATGGTGATGAGAAGCTTTTAAGTTGTTCATAAATGAACACTTCCATTTCAATAGTTGTACACTGTATGGCAAGCAATGCTGGTAATGAGTTTCCTCTTTAAATACACTGGCAAAAAGAGTAAAAGTAGGTTTAAACAACATTGAGTAAACTATAGGTGATAGATATGGCAAAAATCATGAAGGTGTTATACCAATGAGTGAGGCTGGGGAAACACTGCTCTGATCAAGTCGCCCACCTGCTTAAAATTTTTCAATGATTCCCCATGTTTTTCAGGATAAAGTTTAAATTCATTATTACGGGACATAAACCTCTGTTTCCAGTACTTTTTAAGCATTACCCCCAAATTAGTTGTACCCCTGAGAGTCCAGTCATTGGAACTACATCCAACAGTTCAACGTAGATGGGATACACACACACACACACACACCCCCCTATATAGAATGTTCCCTAATTCTTCAATTATACCACCATTCACACCTCAAAACATAACTGTGACCCAAACGAAAAATTCTGTTCAAATGTGGCAGGAACTGAATTATAATTCACAACATCAGCTACATAAAAAAAATTCTAAGTTTATGTGTATTTTGCACCACTATAACATTTACTATTAAGCTGTACATGCCAAAGTAGGACTGCCATCTTGTGGACAGACCTGACACTTTTTATCAGTGTCCTACCTACCTTGGTGACAGCTGCCCAAAAGAGGAGGAAGCTGTGTGTGTAGTTGACTCTGTCAAATAAATAAATAAAATATTTAAAATAAAAAAGATTTTAGGGGCGCCTGTGTGGCTCAGTGGGTTAAACCCTCTGCCTTCAGCTCGGGTCATGATCCCAGTGTCCTGGGATCGAGCCCCACATCGGGTTCCCTGCTCGGCGGGGAGCCTGCTTCCCTCTCTCTCTCTGCCTGCCTCTCTGCCTACTTGTGATCTCTGTCAAATAAATAAATAAATAAATAAATAAGATTTTAGGGGCGCCTGGGTGGCTCAGTGGGTTAAAGCCTCTGCCTTCGGCTCAGGTCATGATCCCAGGGTCCTGGGATCGAGCCCCACATCGGGCTCTCTGCTCAGCAGAGAGTATGCTTCCTCCTCTCTCTCTCTGTGCCTACTTGTGATTTCTGTCTGTCAAATAAATAAAATCTTTAAAATAAATAAATAAATAAAAATAAAAAGAAACAGACATGCTGTTTGCAGATTTATTTTTCTAGTCACATGTGATATTGCTGACTACATCCCCCTGTCCCTGTTCTATAAAAATGCACAGAAGTGGGAATAGGAAAACTGTAGATGTACAGGTCAGCTTTGTGTCCCTGAATTTGCACCAGGGAGAAGTTTCAAGGCGAAAAGATGCTTCTCTCACTTTATTCTTGACTGTATTTTTTTTCCCTGCCATTAATGATCTGCCCTTTAGGGATGCCTGGGTGGCTCAGTTGGTTGAGCTGCTGCCTTCGGCTTGGGTCATGATCCCAGGGTCCTGGGATCGAGTCCCGTGTCGGGCTCCTTGCTCGGCAGGGAGCCTGCTTCTTTCTTCGCCTCTGCCTGCTGCTCAGCCTGATTGTGCGCTCCCCCACTCTGAGAAATAAATAAATAAAATCTTTTAAAAATTTGCCCTTATATATTACTTATGGAGGAAATAATCCTCTCAGCAAGAAGGAGTTAGAACACTAGGATCCTGACAATTCCATCACAATTAAAATAAAAAATTTTTGCCAAGATGCCCTTCAACGGACGAATGCATAAAGAAGATATGGTCCATATATACAATGGAATATTATGCCTCCATCAGAAAGGATGAACACCCAACTTTTGTATCAACATGGACAGGACTGGAAGAGATTATGCTGAGTGAAATAAGTCAAGCAGAGAGAGTCAATTATCATATGGTTTTACTTACTTGTGGAGCATAAAGAATAACACGGAGGACATTGGGAGATGGAGAGAAGTGAGTTGGGGGAAATTGGAGGGGGAGACAAACCATGGGAGACTGTGGACACTGAGAAACAAACTGAGGGTTCTGGAGGGGAGGGGGTGGGGGATTGGGTGAGCCTGGTGGTGGGTATTATGGAGGGCATGTATTGTATGGAGCACTGGGTGTGGTGCATAAACAATGAATTCTGGAACATGGAAAAGAAATGAAATAAAAATTTAAAAAAGAGATACAATTTATATATATATATATATTTTTTTTAAAGATTTTATTTATTGACAGATATCACAAGGAGGCAGAGAGGCAGGCAGAGAGAGAGGAAGGGAAGCAGACTCCCCGCTGAGCAGAGAGCCCGATGCGGGGCTCGATCCCAGGACCCTGGGACCAAACCTGGGCCGAAGGCAGAGGGTTTAACCCACTGAGCCACCCAGGCACCCCTATATATATATTTTTTAAAGATTTTATTTATTTGACAGAGAGAGATCACAAGTAGGCAGAGAGGCAGGCAGAGAGAGGAGGAAGCAGGCTCCCTGCTAAGCAGAGAGCCTGATGTGGGGCTCGATCCCAGGACCCTGAGATCACGACCTGAGCCGAAGGCAGAGGCCCCAACCCACTGAGCCACCCAGGCGCCCGAAGAGATACAATTTTTAGAAGTATAAAACAATGAATAAAAAATTTTTGGAGGGCAGAGGATTTTTTTCGTTATTGTTAATTTTGAAATCTCTGAATTTCATCTCAGGAAAGCCAGATAGGAGCCAGACACCTGAACTTTCTTTTTTTTATCCCCTCCATGACCTAATTTGATTGGCCAAGCTCTAACATATTTCCATACTGGGTCAGGCTCCAATTTTCTTTCTACTCCAGGATATGGTCCTTGCCATAATGGAATTTGTAAGTGATTTGCTGGCTCGTTAGACCAGCGATTACACAGAGTAAGAAGAAAAAAAAAAAAACTATGGTAAAACAAGTATGGGAACAGATAACCAAAACATATCACTAGTCTAAACTCTGAAGTTGAATTGGTCTTTCTAAATACAAATCTGATTATGTCACCCTCTTGGCTTTCAGCAGAAGTTTACTGAATGCCTACTGTGTGCTTGGCACTGTGCAAAGTATGGGGATATGATTAACCACAGAGAGAAGACACAGGCATGGGGACATACAGGCTGGTTATCTCTAACAGTGGCCTGTCATTTACATGGAGAGGACATCTGCACTGTGCACACGTTTATTTGTTGGTTATGTATATAGTTACATCCCTCACACAAACAAATTCTACCTGAAAAATGAGAAGAGTGCTGTTAGTTAGCATTTCTTTTTTTTTTTTTT